AAATCAAGAGGACATTTCAGAACTGGAGAAGAGGTAGGCCTAGGAGGGGGCCAGGAAGCTGCTGTGAGCAGCTCTTGTATGCCCAGATCAGGCATGTGCTGATCCCACTGGGCCCCACAGCTGCCCGACCCACCCCCACCTTTCCCCTCCATGGAGGTGCCAGGCAGATGAGTGAGAACCAAGGGAGAGTGAGGAGCTGGGGTCTGATCTGGGCTGGCAGGGGCCTGATCTTAGAGCAAGGGTGGGCAAAATGTGGCCCCGGGGGCTGGATGTGGCCCGCCAGGCCATTCTACCTGGCCCGCGGGGCCCCTAAAAAGTTTAGAAAATGAATACTGATCTGCCCTGAGCTGCCTGTCACGCAGCCCTCGACGGCTTGCTCAGTAAGCAGCCCTCTGCCCAGAATAATTGCCCGCCCCCGTCTTGGAGCCTATACTGCTGCTAGAGAGCCGGCAAGCAGGGCAGGCTGTTGAACCCCAGTTCACCAGCTTTCTAGCAGTGGATCAGAGATGTGCACATTAGAGCGGGTGTTAACCCTTAATGTGCAACTGCTCACAGCATTAACACTACCTAACATTCCTGAGAGTTAATACGTGCTAATTGTAACATGCAACCACACCTTCAGTCTTTAGTGTGATCTCATTAGACAAAAAAATCCCCAGTCCATGGCTCTCAGATAGTCGTTTCCCTGCAAAACCCTCTAATAGTGCTGGCAGCCACAGGAAATCAGAACATTAAAACTGCGGTTGACAGAAAACAAAGGACAATAACTCCCACAGTGCTTTAGCTGTTGTTGTGCATGGGCTAGCGAATGGTTGGGGACCACTGTGTTACACTCTACTGTCACGTCTTGTCACGTGAATTCAGGTGCTGCAGACTCCTGACTAGAGATCAGGGTGGTGATATAACCAGTGCAGCTGGGACCTAATCTCTCTCCATCTCCGGCTCTGTCTGTTGTATTTGACCCCCAAAAGTGCCAGCACACAGGGGTCAAAGGAAAAGGCAACAATGAAAGTTTCCCTCCCATGCAATGCTAGCTTTAATGAAGCTGTTGATTGCCTGCAGGTTACTTGCAACTATCTAGCAACTTCAGGAGTTAAAAATCCCTCCCCTAAGGGATAAATTCAAGGATACAGTGATATTTGGTTTGCAAGTCACACTCTAACCCCTGAGCTGCAATGCAGCCTTTCAGCCTCCGAAAACTGGGCAGGTGGCCTGGGGCAAACCACAGTTTGCTTAAACACAGAACAGACTTTTCATCTCAGTTTCAGATGCAGAATGGTGAGTGCAATTGGTTTGGTCTGGGATGGCCTGATGAACTCAGGGCATTTGCAACACATTACAGAGGGCAGAGGAGGAAGATACAGGGTCTTCTTTCAGTGTGGATCCTGCCAAGAAAGAAAGAAGTTTTCAGTAAAACAATCCATAATATTTGGGTCCTCCTCCCCCTCAGAGATCCCAGATGCCCAGCTAAACTTGACTTGAGCTGACTGCCACCAATAATACTGAACATACTTTACACTTTCACCCCAACTATTATCCTCACCTCCACTGACGCAACAACTACTCAATTCACATAAGGCAGGGGTGCTCAGCCTTCAGGCCAGATTTGGCTTACAGAGCCATGGCATCTGGCCCACAGGGCTCCCCATGGGTTAGGAAATTTGACAGCAAGTGTCAAATTAGTGACAATTACATTCTGACAATTAAAACCAGCCTGCCCCCTGCCAAATTCTGAACACCCCCTTCCCCCCTTACAGTGGATCAGAGCCCCTTCCAATCTCTACACCTCCTCCAATCTCTATTACATGGTCAGATTGGGGCCAGGCCATGCCCCTTCCACCTGCAAAGCTGGATCAGAGCTAGACTGACACCCTGTCCTCCTCTGCATGGCCAGATGGGTCTCCACTGTGCCCACTCCAGGTACCGGATTGAGACTAGAGGCCAGATTCAGCCTGCTGGGCAAAAGGGTTGAGCATGTATCCTGCCTGCTGGGCAAAAAAAGTTGAGCACCACTGACATAAGAAAACAGCAGCGTCTCAACTCCTACAGCGTGCGGTCAAGCGGATCCTAGCCTGCTGATCTAGCTTATCATCCCTCCTCCCCATCTGCCATCCCAAGTTCTCTCTCACGGCTCTCTCCAGTTTCCCACTGTCTTTACAGGATCATTCTTGTACCTTGTAAGAAACACAGTTCAAACCACATTCACCACTAGGGTAAAATGGTACAACACCATCAGTTTCAACGGTGAATGGGATAAGGAGATGTGCTTACCTCTTACTGAGAACTGCTCTTGGTCTCCAAGTTCATGCATTTGGAGGAAAGGCCAAACTCTTCTTTTTTCTGACATGTTGTTCAGACCAAACCAGATAAAACAATGACACCGTTAGGTATTGCCCCATGACAAAAGCCAGTGATAAACACTAACCTCTACTTTACAACCCGAATTCAACCAAGGGGCCAATACACAATGAGTGACATGCGTAGCACACTGGCACAGCTAAGCACTCTCACCCTTTGGCACGTCAGTGAGCACATCTCTAACACGGGACTGGAAGTGACCTGCTAGGTCCCTGAATCCTGCTCTCTGCTATTGTAGGCACCCCATGCTACAGCATCTTTCATTCCCCTCATAATAAAACAGCAGTGAATATGCCCGGTGATTCATGAATAACCCAAGATCGCAAGGCAACTTTTTTGCAAACACCTTAGAATAAGACCCTTCTGCAGGGCACATGTCCTAGAGAGACTGTGATGCTAACAGAGCAAAGTGGATTTAATTCCAACTTTATTTAAATATTCATCACTCATTAGGAGATTTTGGACACACAGCGCTCACTCAAAGTTATTTCTGGTTGAGCTGTCCATCTAAATGACAGTTTACTGTCTAGATCCCTTTGGCAGTTTTCACCATCTCTGCCTTGCTGCATATCTTGGCTATGGTACCATAGGGTGGTAATCAAGGAAGTTTTCAGAGTGCTCAGCACTGTCCTTGCTCTGTCCCTCCTGAAGCCAGGCACATTTTACCACTGATTTCAATGACCATAGAGTTAGAGAAATGCTGAGCACTTCTGAAAATCCCACCTTACAAGTACGTGTGCTGAGGTCACTCTCCAGGGACTGAATTACCAAGGGAGCAAGGGCTCTAGTGCCAACAGACATGTTTTACGTAGAAAACCCTCGTGATTTTGGAGCCAAAGGTCATGGGTTCTAGCTTCTGTTTGTAGTGTATATATTTGACAATCGCTAGCTCGAACCAATCTGGAGAAGGATATATGTTCGGTTATTCTTAAATATAGTGTTTACATGCACACTGACAAAGACATATTTGTTACATCTTCTATATACATGCCCACTCAGAACTATGTACAAAACCCTCCAGGCCTTTCTAAGTCTCAAGAAAAAGTCAAATGTACTGTAGCTTACAGGTAACTTGAGCTCCTGTTCTGCATATTTAAACTTCTTCTGCTTGTAATAATCCCGTCGTGAGAGAAAGTGCAGCAGGAGCAGGTCACAGAGCACCGATGCCTTCCATGAAACAGAACAAGTCACATAAGCCAAACCACAGTGAGGGTCACACCTAAAGCATCAGATCACCCAGCCCACCCGCTCTCAGCTATGCCGATATAGAGGAGTCGCTTCAGCTACTTTGGATGTGGAAGTCGGTAGCCACTTTACAGCGTCCTGCCATACTACACCTCAGCTCAGGAAAGAAGTGAAGTGTGAAGGATTCAGAATTGGGAAATGTACCATATTTACTCGAACCTAAGACGATCCCGAATTGAAGACGACCTCCCAATAGTTAGTTTCTTTACAACTTATACATTTGTTATAGTTTCCCATGTATAGAATCTATTTATTGGAGGATCATCTTGAGTTAATATCCCCCACCGCTGCAGAGGGGCAGGCAGTGGGGAGGCACGTGGCATGGGAAATTAAGAAGTTTGCCCCCTGCTTGTGTCTGCCCCCCACAATCCTCTGCTCTCCCCCTTCACTCCCAGCCTCTGCTCCCCCAGCTCTTCCCCAGCCTCCGCTCCATGCTGGAAGACACCATCCCTATTCTAGCCTGGGGCACTGGGCATGGCTCCAGCCCAGCCCCTGTAGCAGCCATGCAAGGCTGCATGCCACTGCTGCACGGCCAGACTTGAGCTGTACTCAGTGCCCCAGGCTGCAGCGTGCACAGAGCCTGCTGGCACAGAGCAAAGATAAAGGGGGATTGCAAGAGGCAGGTGGGGAGCAAAGGTTGCGTGGGGTGGTGGTGGTAGGGTGCAGAGGTGGAGGGGGGCAGGCAACAGGTGCAACTGCGGCCCTGACCTTGGGTAGAGGCTGTAGCCCGAGTCACAGCAGCCATCTGTCCCTCTCCCACCCCCATAAAGGCGGGGGGCTTCCCCCGCCCATGTTACACAGGGGGGCAAAAACCTTGTCTTAGAATTGACTAAATACAGTAGGTAGACAAAATGTAAGAAACGTAACGTGAACGCAAGGCTTGAGCCAAATTCTAACATCCTGGATACTGCAAAAAGTACTGCATGGTCTTTAAGGACCACAAAGCAGGCAAGTTCTTGGTTTTGTGTCTCATCTGAACGACAGTGCCTCGTCCCCAGACACCATGCTGGGATGTTGCTTGTGCATATTCAGAAGAGAGAGCTCTTGCTATCACTTCTACTGTAATACCTGCCCTGGCATCCTCTGCGGGAGTTTCCCATCATAGTATTTTTCTACTGAGTTCCCTTATTTGAATGGATCTACAAGATGACAGGCAAGCTATCACATCATCCAGTAGTAATCCCCCGTGGCCTATGGTTTTTTAATGATCAATTTGGACACGTTAGATCCATTGTGATGCAAGGTTTCTGCCCTCTTCTTTTGCCCTATTGATACTGAAGGAGCTCTGGGGATGCCTGTGCACCACTGGCATTTTGCTAGAGCTCTAGGCCCCTTCCACTTCAGTGCCTCGTACAAGCAGAGTAGTTTGAGAGCTCACACATGGGAGCCTTAGAAATAGCAGAACTTACCACTCCAAAAATGCCAATTCCAGAGCCGATTGTGGTCATCGTTGGGATGATGTCAAATTTACCTGCCTGAATTAAAACACAGGAAACAGCCTAGCAGTATAGAGCAAAGGAATCGCACAGCACAAAGGTCTGGCTATGAACGACCCTACAGGAGTTCATCGCCTCTCACAGACAGGCAGGACATGGGCATTGGTTCTGTAAGAGTAGCTGATTTCTGGGTTTGCTCACCAAAACCGAAAAATAAAGCAAATAAATCACTTTGGATCAAGCAAAACATTGTTTTCCTCTGTATTTTTTCCCCATTAAGCCCTTTTTATTATTTCAGTTAGGCAAATTTAAAAAAAAAACAAACAAAAAAACTCATTCCAAAATTCAGCCTATCCTAAGCAGGACATTCAACCATCTCCTTCTGAGTCAAAGATCTTGACATGCACTAAATTTTGATACTGGGGTAGAACGCAGAGTTACGTGCAAATTGAAAGCAAGTCAGAAAACTACTGGGGAAAGAGCTATGAACTCGTCTGAATTCACAGGAGATGTTACCTTTCCATTGACCAGAATGTCAAACCGGATCCCAAACACTTTGTACAAATTCCTGTGATTGATTCCACCGTCACTGTAGTATTTGGCATACCTTTCCAAACAGACAAACAACACATAATAATGGCTTTTCATTAAAAGCTTGTTTTTTTAATTAAAAGCTTGTTAAAAAAAAGAAAACAAAACAAAAAATGGAACTACCGAACTACCGTCAGCCAATTGCAAAACTGACATACTGAAGTCTTTGTGGACTCCTGGACAGAGCAATGGGCCAAGACTCAGAAAGGTCTAATTCTTGGATCTGCCACTGGCCTTCTGGATGACATTGGAAAACTGCCCTTTACCTCAGTTTCCCCATTTTGGAAAATGGGTATAATGATACTGACTCTATTTGTAAAACTTTTTGACATCTCCCAGGAGAAAATGTTACAAATGAGCTAGCTACTTATTATCATTGCCTACTAAGTGAAACTACAAAGCAAAAAACAAACAGAAGAATTAACTGAAATCTAATTGCTGGCTGAATTGAAATGAGTTAATCCACTCCTGTTTGAATGCATTTTTGTTCGTTTGTACCGCCGAGTGTATTATGCTCCTGCAAGAACATTCAGTATTAGTATGCACAGGACTCTCAGGCATTGTTTTCACTATTAGTCAGAATTGCACAAATACGATAAGCAAACGGGTGCACGTTGCACTGTGTGTGGCTGCACTGCAGGGCTGTGCGAAGCTTCGGTCCCCGATTCGATTTGGTGGAGATTCAGCCTGATTTGGTGGCTGAATCTCCAAATCAAATTAGAGGACGCTTTAATCCCTCCAAATTGAATTGGAGCCCTCTGAATCGATTTGGAGAGATTTGGATATAGACAGAGTTTGAAATGTTTTTTCTACGTGCCTCAAGGTACCAGGCGGCTCGTGAACGCTGAGGTTGTGGGGTGAATGGAGCGTCCCACAGAAGCACTTTTGGTCCGCTTCCGGGTCCGCCGGGGAGCCCCCAGCTCAGTGCCTGGTGTCTCCTGGGTCTGGGGGGACGCTCCGTGTGTCCCAGCACGGCAGTATTCACAAGCCTCGCCTGCTACCTCGAGGTGTGTAGAAAAAACTTTTAAAGCTGTGTCTGTGTCTGAATCGCTGATTCTCTGAATCAGTGTCGAATCTTCGGATTCGGCTGAATCGAACCAGGGACAGTGATCCAAATCAATTCATCGAATCACTGTCCCCGATTCGGGTCGAATCCGAATCCAAATTAAATAGGGCCTGCTTCGCACACCCCTACTGCGCAGCGTCTTGTGACACTGGACTGAAAACCCTGTACCACTAATAGCTGAAAGGATGCAGGGTGTGAATGTTTGATCAGCAGGGGTCCTGGTTTTCTCTGTTTAAAAAATCCAAAATTCTCTGATTGAAACCCCCAAAATCAGTATTCTTCTGCGTTTATATATACAGGCATACCTCGGAGATATTGCGGGTTTGGTTCCAGACCACTGCAATAAAGCGAATATTGCAATAAAGCGAGTCACACGAATTTTTTGGTTTCCCAGTGCATATAAAAGTTATGTTTACACTATACTGTAGTCTATCCAGTGTGCAATAGCGTTATGTCTAAAAAAAAAACGTGCATACCTTAATTAAAAAATACTTTATTGCTAAAAAATGCTAACCATCATCTGAGCCTTCAGCAAGTCATAATCTTTTTGCTGGTGGAGGGTCTT